GTTAACAGTCACGCTCACACAAGTAAAAATTAAATGGCGGCCTGTGTCAGACTTCCTCACCATAACATCTACATACATCCGTCACGTTTCTACTGCACTTATAGTTTATCATTAACCAATCGAAATAATAATCTATTAGTCCATGGAGAGCAAGTCAGCACAAGAAGGGAAGGATTTTGTTAATGTTTAATTAAGACCAGTTAATAATCTGCGCTGCCGATCAATTTGAAGTTTTAAAACAAAGGTAACGCTGCGGTGATTTGCAGGTTTGCCATTTGACTCTGGGTTGGATCTGTATAATATAGTTGGTTTAAACTGATAGATCATTAAAAACGTTTTATAAGTTTGTATCAAGTAATATGTGGTTTAGTTTAAGTAACGTTCCAAACACCTAAAAGCACTTTAAGCTGTTAACGTCCTACCCCTGCTGGCTTGTTTTATAAAAAAGTGACCATTTCAAAAGAAATTGTACTTCAATATATCCCCTTAGTGACACCTCCCAGCTGCCAAGCAGACAGTTAGGATCTTTCTGTTTATAGGTAATATTTCATGGCATCGCTCAAAGTCTCTTATTACATAATAAAATTATGGACGGGTTTTTTTTTGGAAGCACAAATTAACAAAATAAATTACAATTTGTTTAAGAAAAGGCCACTTATGTGTACACAACCATTTGATAATATACAGACAAAACTAATATTTGGAGAAAAAAAAAAAAAAAAACACATCATAAGACCTGATGGGTGCTATCAGTACAAGGAGCATATATACAAACAAGGGCAAAATGGTAGTCAGCCAATAAAGTATGGCATAAGACAGACATGACTGACATTTTCATATCCAGTTCTGATGCTGGAGACTCCAATTTCCTGCTTAACCAGGAGCACAGCCATCTATAATATTAATAGGTCCTTGGGAAAACCAATGTCTTGGGCTCCCAGGACCCTCCAAACCCCCTCCACGGCACGCAATCACGCCTTTCACCCCAACGCAGTGGTAAACTAAAAGCAGAGAGGTGCAAGACATATTTACACAAACATATACACACAGACACACAATTATACTGACAGACATACGGCCACACACACACACACTGACAAACATACTGACAGACTTGCAAAATTTACACTTTGAAACCCTTTTCCTACCTTCGAGGTTTCCCTGGTGTCCAGAGTTGTGGCTGAGGCTGTTGGGGGTTAGCGACTGGCTCTCCCAGCCTAGCCTCCCTCCTCTCTGCCTCCTTGGTCTCTCCCACATGGCTCTCTGTGGGAGGAAGTGACTTCAGCAGTCACTTTCTCCCATTCTGCCGAAAAGCAAAGGGCCTGGACCTCTGCTTTCTAATGCCCACCGGGTGGCACTTACTGCATGAGCCATCAAAAGGGCCTGCACTGGGAGCTCATGGAGGGTAGAAATAAATAGTTGAGGACAGGGGGGCTCATGGGGCAGCTTCTTCAGACCCCCCAGGTGTTACTGGGCCTGGGATAGCTGCCCCGTTTGCCCTGACCGAGAGTAGGAAAGAGAAAGGGAGCTGCAGGGAGGTGGCTAGGATCGAGAGATTCAACCATTAACTTCATAGGTCTCCGTTGATAAGTGCATGGGAAATTCAAAGAGTAGCTGGTGCCCCTATGCACAGACAGACTGCGGCCTAAAATTCCAGGAATAGGAGAATTCATTAGGGGAGTGTGATCACGTACTGCTCTGCGGGTGTATTTCAATAGGGAGGGGTCACAATGGCTGACATCGCTCCGGCCTGGCTATACATTAGCCCAGCCCAGAAAATGCAAGGTGCTCACACTCCCATTGGACAGACGCTGGTTACTTTGGGAACTAGCAAACAACCTCTCTGTCTGCCAAGTCTGAAACGTAAATCTGGATATCGTTCCAGACTGGTTCAGCAAGCTGTTCAATAGATGTAAAAGACGGACTTACTGAAGGAGTCTAATAAGAACATGACTTGCAATAAGGTCTCTAATCTATGACACAGAACTGAATGGTTCTCTTAATCAAAAGATGATATATTGAAAATACACATAGAAGGTCATTAGAATAATATGTAGAACCCCCATCTCCCAAATATCAGCAACACATTTAAATTGAACTGCAGCACAACTTGATAATGCGTCCAGTAAATGTATGTATAAACATTGGTCCCTCTCAGAATAATTCCCAGGGATCCTCTGATTGCCCTTTTAATACCATACTGCAGAATAATAGGTCCATTAAAACATGGTCTGCATCTATGAAAATCCGCAGGGGCCTCTACGTATCAATCCGATGAGGACTTTATAGAAAGGTTTGAAAAAGGTCGAATTCAAAGTATGTGTAGGCTATTCAGATCTTGATATTACAATGTATTTTAGGAAGTGCTCCCAGAATATTCAAATACTTTCTATTAGTAATATTTAGTCGCCTCTAATTGCGGAATAAATTATTTCGTATAATTATCCCCATAACTTAGCAACATAATTAAAATGTGATTTGGACTCTAAATATAAGAAGAGCCATTAAATGTGGATTTAACCATGAAACATTCTTAGCCAGTATAATTGCATCTTATATCCGTGCCTGTTGTTATTGGGTGAAAATTTGCAAACGATCTTAGAGCGTCAGTGAAGAAATAGTTACATTTTTTTTTTTTTAGCAAATTGTCATGTGTACCTTCTGTCTAGTTGTCCCTGTGATCAACTCTTCAGTGTTGGTCTGAATGTGTAGTATGTGGGAGGGTTCCCACATTGACCATTAATTTATAAGGCTTATAATCTCAAGTAAATGCCACTTAAAGAGTAGCAGATTTTGATTGGTCATTAAATCATTACACCTAAGTCTCCTATAGGAAGCGCCAGCCCTCATGGGAGGTGTAGTCCAAAACATCTGGAGGGCCGAAGGTTCCCCACCCCTGAATTATACAAACAATTGAATAAAATAAAAAATTAAGTGTTTCCGTTTCTAATATGTTTTGTATCATCATACACATGAAAACAATATTTTAAGACTGCAATTATCCATCTAACATATAGAAGAAAAAAAAAAAAAAAAAAAACACCTTCCAAAACTGAAACAATGTCAATCAATATTCTTCTCTTCTTTTTCTAAGTCCCCAGACCGATTCCACTTGACCTGCCTATTGAAAACAGAGAAACGAATAGTATTATAAAGAGACACCCACCTCGAAAACCTAAAGTAAGATGAACTTAATGGCCTTCATATGGAGTATCTTGGATTAAATGGTAACAGTTTATTATTTTTAATGTAAGAAGTGTTTACATAATCCATGGAGTGCTACAATGTTCCATCATTTGGTTGCAGACCAGCCATGCCAAATCCACCATGATTACCACATCTATAAGTGGATAGGCAGCACATTAAGAATGCTGCTCTGCTGTATGCAGAATTCAAATGCTGCGGGAAGGAAGCCAATTAGTTAATCATATAAGGCACCAACACAACTTTAATGCATTGGATAGGTTTATGCGGTATTTTTGCATGATCAAATCTTTATAGCTTTTGCTCAAAAATAAAACAAATGATTTGCAGAATGTTGCACCATAAGAATAGGCCTTCTTAGTCACGCCCCCTCACTCTACAAAAATACTTCCTGATAAAAGATGTATGTAAAATATATATATACACACACACACACACACACACACACACACACACACGAATTATGTTTCTCTGAAGCGCCATATTGGCAATATAGCCAAGCAAACCACTAGCACAATGCCAAACTGGTTGGTTTGTTTTGGTATTCAGAGTAATGCCTGTAGCTAGAAAAATAAATACCCCTCCATCCCCAATGAAACCAATGACAACAAAAACCACACAACAACAACAACAACAACAACAACTGAGAAGTGACCAATAGAGATGTGCGAACTCCCGTCAGCTGACACATCCCGGCCAATCTCCAGCAGACCCTCCCTCCCAGGCCCTCCCACCTCCTGGACTGCATCCATGTTGAAGCTGCCTTCAACATGGATGCTGTCCAGGAAGTAGGAGGGTCTGGGAGGGAGGGTCTGCTGGAGATTGGCCGGGATGTGTCAGCTGACCGGAGTTCGCCACGAACCGTGGCGAACCATTCGCGAGAAGTTCGCGGACGGTTCGCGACATCTCTAGTGACCAACAGAGGGAAAAAAAAGAACTCTTTATAAATTTTTTTTTTTTTTTAATATAATTTTGTTTACTTCTCCCTTTTTTTCCAACCTTTTATTGGTTAACGTTTTCTTAGTTACTCTGTGAACCAAATAGCAAGAAAATGCTCCAACCAATATACACACACACACACACACATATACATACATACATACACAAACGCACAATATTTATATCATGAATATATTTTGCAATGCAGCGATTGGCCCATTTTTGGTTCAAATTCCGTCCCTGAATATTTTTCATAGAAGATATTTGGATGAACCAAACCATCAACTGAATGAGTGTAATAAAATCCCAAACTAAATTTAATTTTAGTGAAAAATGGTTTGGCCAAACAGAACTTTTCAGCTATGAACAAGTCTATTGGTCACCCTCCTGCAGCACATGAGTTCTATACACTGCAGGGCAGTACTTCATGGTGAATCTAGCAAACATATTCAATTCTTGTTAGCACTGAAAAACTTCTATATTGTCGTTTTATTAGCGTGAAATGGTTATACAATATACAGGAGTGAATTACACATGTATCTGTGGATTTATATAGAGAGTAAAAAAAGAGTAGGCCCGGTTTCTTTGAATATTTTCTGTACATTTACTGGTAATAGATTAAATATCCAATATGATTATGTTTGCATTAGTGTGATTAGCTGTATCAGGTTTTCCTGGAGACATATCACTTCTTGCTACTGGGAAGCACATGAAAAGTTCTGCCCTGTAGTAGTATGTAGCACTCATATGCTGCAGGAATGAATTCAATTAAACAGTTTCTCTCTCTTAGCACAATGATACTTTGTATGATTGGAAACAGTGCTGTGTTCTTACACATGGTCTAAAGTACTAACAGTGGGGACATCACCATGGAAACCAGTTAAACAGTAAGGCACATTAAATTGGTGACTTGTTCCATTTTCCATGGTTTTTCAGGACACTATTTATATTTTCTTTGTATAGCCTTAATGCATTAGTATAGAATAGATTAAAAAACAGGAGTAAATTTTAATGACACATTCCCTTTATCCAAGCACAGGTTAATTTGACATTTTCCATGGTTAGTGGATTAATTTCCTTCCATCAGTCAGTGAATTATACATAATAACGCACACCAGGTACATTGGCTGCATATTAGCCCAGAAATCTACTCACACCAGAACACAATCGCCAATTCAGTTCTGTGTTCAGTTCAGCTAGTTTGGGCTCAAATTAGAAATTCACACATTAGTGAAAACCTTATTGGTAAAACGTCCAAAACCAGTTACTAGTGATATGTTAATATTAGTAAATGGACATTTCAATAAAAAACATTTTTTTAAAAGCCCTGCAGTAAAACACCCACGTCTCCTGGCAAGCAATGGCCATAATATAAACAAAACTATAAGTGAAATTCGCTCTGTCCCAAATCAATTTGCACATTTAAATAACAAAATGTTTTACTACATGGCCCATTGGAGTGTAAGCTCACCTGACAACATGCAGGCAAAGTCCTACACCAACAATTCACCCTGGGTTGTTTTGTTTTGCCATATTATAGAAATAAACGCTTATGAGACAGAACCGCCTGTTTCGATGAACATTATTCACAGAGTTACTCACCAAACACCAAATTAACAGAATGGCAAAAACATTGCTATAGACAAATCTGGGCTGTTCATTTTGAAATTCATTGATTTTAATTCTGTATAATTTGACATTTAGTGAATAATCCGATCACTTCTATTTGATCTGTTAATTTTAGAACATTATAAGCACAAGTTTAAAATATAAATTGTGTTCCAAGATAACACACATATATCTGTACCTGTCTGTCCTGTAACTGGGCACCTCCATCTCAGCTCGCTGTCAGGCATTGTTATACGCTCTGTCCTGTAACTGGGAGCCTCCATCTTAGCTCACTGTCAGCCATTGTTATACGCTCTGTCCTGTAACTGGGCGCCTCCATCTCAGCTCGCTGTCAGGCATTGTTATACGCTCTGTCCTGTAACTGGGAGCCTCCATCTTAGCTCACTGTCAGCCATTGTTATACGCTCTGTCCTGTAACTGGGAGCCTCCATCTTAGCTCGCTGTCAGCCATTGTTATACGCTCTGTCCTGTAACTGGGCGCCTCCATCTTAGCTCGCTGTCAGCCATTGTTATACGCTCTGTCCTGTAACTGGGCGCCTCCATCTTAGCTCGCTGTCAGCCATTGTTATACGCTCTGTCCTGTAACTGGGAGCCTCCATCTCAGCTCACTGTCAGCCATTGCTATACGCTCTGTCCTGTGGGAGCCTCCATCTTAGCTCACGGTCAGCCATTGCTATACACTCTGTCCTGTAACTGGGCGCCTCCATCTTAGCTCGCTGTCAGCCATTGTTATACGCTCTGTCCTGTAACTGGGCGCCTCCATCTTAGCTCGCTGTCAGCCATTGTTATATGCTCTGTCCTATAACTGGGCGCCTCCATCTCAGCTCGCTGTCAGCCATGTTATACGCTCTGTCCTGTAACTGGGTGCCTCCATCTTAGCTCACTGTCAGCCATTGTTATATGCTCTGTCCTGTAACTGGGCGCCTCCATCTTAGCTCACTGTCAGCCATTGTTATACGCTCTGTCCTGGAACTGGGCGCCTCCATCTCAGCTCACTGTCAGCCATTGCTATATGTGCTGTCCTGTAACTGGGTGCCTCCATCTCAGCTCACTGTCAGCCATTGTTATATGCTCTGTCCTATAACTGGGCGCCTCCATCTCAGCTCGCTGTCAGCCATTGTTATACGCTCTGTCCTGTAACTGGATGCCTCCATCTCAGCTCACTGTCAGCCATTGCTATATGTGCTGTCCTGTAACTGGGTGCCTCCATCTCAGCTCACTGTCAGCCATTGTTATATGCTCTGTCCTATAACTGGGCGCCTCCATCTCAGCTCGCTGTCAGCCATTGTTATACGCTCTGTCCTGTAACTGGGCGCCTCCATCTCAGCTCACTGTCAGCCATTGTTATACGCTCTGTCCTGTAACTGGGCGCCTCCATCTCAGCTCACTGTCAGCCATTGTTATACGCTCTGTCCTGTAACTGGGCGCCTCCATCTCAGCTCGCTGTCAGCCATTGTTATACGCTCTGTCCTGTAACTGGGCACCTCCATCTCAGCTCACTGTCAGCCATTGCTATACACTCTGTCCTGTAACTGGGCGCCTCCATCTTAGCTCGCTGTCAGCCATTGTTATACGCTCTGTCCTGTAACTGGGCGCCTCCATCTCAGCTCGCTGTCAGCCATTGTTATACGCTCTGTCCTGTAACTGGGAGCCTCCATCTCAGCTCACTGTTAGCCATTGCTATATGCTCTGTCCTGTAACTGGGAGCCTCCATCTCAGCTCACTGTCAGCCATTGCTATACGCTCTGTCCTGTAACTGGGCGCCTCCATCTCAGCTCACTGTTAGCCATTGCTATATGCTCTGTCCTGTAACTGGGCACCTCCATCTCAGCTCACTGTCAGCCATTGCTATACGCTCTGTCCTGTAAGTGGGCGCCTCCATCTCAGCTCGCTGTCAGCCATTGCTATACGCTCTGTCCTGTAACTGGGCGCCTCCATCTTAGCTCGCTGTCAGCCATTGTTATACGCTCTGTCCTGTAACTGGGCGCCTCCATCTTAGCTCGCTGTCAGCCATTGTTATATGCTTTGTCCTATAACTGGGCGCCTCCATCTCAGCTCGCTGTCAGCCAATGTTATACGCTCTGTCCTGTAACTGGGCGCCTCCATCTTAGCTCACTGTCAGCCATTGTTATATGCTCTGTCCTGTAACTGGGCGCCTCCATCTTAGCTCACTGTCAGCCATTGTTATACGCTCTGTCCTGGAACTGGGCGCCTCCATCTCAGCTCACTGTCAGCCATTGCTATATGTGCTGTCCTGTAACTGGGTGCCTCCATCTCAGCTCACTGTCAGCCATTGTTATATGCTCTGTCCTATAACTGGGCGCCTCCATCTCAGCTCACTGTCAGCCATTGCTATATGTGCTGTCCTGTAACTGGGTGCCTCCATCTCAGCTCACTGTCAGCCATTGTTATATGCTCTGTCCTATAACTGGGCACCTCCATCTCAGCTCGCTGTCAGCCATTGTTATACGCTCTGTCCTGTAACTGGGTGCCTCCATCTCAGCTCACTGTCAGCCATTGTTATATGCTCTGTCCTTAAACATATTCCATTTTAGAAACTGTTGCAAACATGGAGAAGGGGAAGATTCACAAATGCAATGTCTCTGCTAGCTCCACTGGATTTCATGGTGACTGTCCCACTTTTAGTACTTAAATCCCCTTTTCAAGACATTACACTTTTCACACACGGCCCCCAGTGTTTTTTATATCCCCTGCTCATTTGCAATGTTTAAATTCATTCACGTAGGTCAAACAGAGAGAGGGGGGCACTTTAATTTTAGGGGGTGTGCCTAGAGGGTGTGAGTGGGGGTGTGGCCAGTAGTGGGCCTGTTCTGAGACAGTTTAGGTGACTTAGTGATAACAATCAATAGAACTTTAAGATATAATTTACAACAAGAACAATGTGTCTTATTTACATAGACTGATTTCTAAACACATTTATTGTAGTTTAAAAACACATTACTGGGAGTATTATTACTGTGGAGCTCTGTTATACACTCAGACACATTACAGGGAGTATTATTGTTGTGGAGCTCTGTTATACACTCAGACACATTACTGGGAGTATTATTGCTGTGGAGCTCTGTTATACACTCAGACACATTACTGGGAGTATTATTGCTGTGGAGCTCTGTTATACACCCAGACACATTACTGGTAGTATTATATCTGTGGAGCTCTGTTATACTCAGACACATTACTGGGAGTATTATTGCTGTGGAGCTCTGTTATACACTCAGGCACATTACTGGGAGTATTATTGCTGTGGAGCTCAGTTATACACTCAGACACATTACTGGGAGTATTATTGCTGTGGAGCTCTGTTATACACTCAGACACATTACTGGGAGTATTATTGCTGTGGAGCTCTGTTATACACCCAGACACATTACTGGGAATATTATTGCTGTGGAGCTCTGTTATACACCCAGACACATTACTGGGAATATTATTGCTGTGGAGCTCTGTTATACACTCAGACACATTACTGGGAGTATTATTGCTGTGGAGCTCTGTTATACACTCAGACACATTACTAGGAGTATTATTGCTGTGGGCTCTGTTATACACTCAGACACATTACTGGGAGTATTATTGCTGTGGAGCTCTGTTATACACTCAGACACATTACTGGGAGTATTATTGGTGTGGAGCTCTGTTATACACTCGGACACATTACTGGGAGTATTATTGCTGTGGAGCTCTGTTATACACTCAGACACATTACTGGGAGTATTATTGCTGTGGAGCTCTGTTATACACTCAGACACATTACTAGGGGTATTATTGCTGTGGAGCTCTGTTATACACTCAGACACATTACTGGGAGTATTATTGCTGTGGAGCTCTGTTATACACTCAGACATTACTGGGAGTATTATTGCTGTGGAGCTCTGTTATACACTCAGACACATTACTGGGAGTATTATTGCTGTGGAGCTCTGTTATACACTCAGACACATTACTGGGAGTATTATTGCTGTGGAGCTCTGTTATACACTCACACACATTACTGGGAGTATTATTGCTGTGGAGCTCTGTTATACACTCAGACACATTATTGGGAGTATTATTACTGTGGAGCTCTGTTATGCACTCAGACACATTACTGGGAGTATTATTGCTGTGGAGCTCTGTTATACACTCAGACACATTACTGGGAGTATTATTGCTGTGGGGCTCTGGTATACACTCAGACACATTACTGGGAGTATTACTGCTGTGGGGCTCTGTTATACACTCAGACACATTACTGGGAGTATTATTGCTGTGGAGCTCTGTTATACACTCAGACACATAACTGGGAGTATTATTGCTGTGGAGCTCTGTTATACACTCAGACACATTGCTGGGAGTATTATCGCTGGACACATTACTGGGAGTATTATTGCTGTGGAGCTCTGTTATACACTCAGACACATTACTGGGAGTATTATTGCTGTGGAGCTCTGTTATACACTCAGACACATTACTGGGAGTATTATTGCTGTGGAGCTCTGTTATACACTCAGACACATTACTGGGAGTATTATTGCTGTGGAGCTCTGTTATACACTCAGACACATTACTGGGAGTATTATTGCTGTGGAGCTCTGTTATACACTCAGACACATTACTGGGAGTATTATTGCTGTGGAGCTCTGTTATACACTCAGACACATTACTGGGAGTATTATTGCTGTGGAGCTCTGTTATACACTCAGACACATTACTGGGAGTATTATTGCTGTGGAGCTCTGTTATACACTCAGACACATTACTGGGAGTATTATCGCTGTGGAGCTCTGTTATACACTCAGACACATTACTGGGAGTATTATTGCTGTGGAGCTCTGTTATACACTCAGACACATTACTGGGAGTATTATTGCTGTGGAGCTCTGTTATACACTCAGACACATTACTGGGAGTATTATTGCTGTGGAGCTCTGTTATACACTCAGACACATTACTGGGAGTATTATTGCTGTGGAGCTCTGTTATACACTCAGACACAT